GGCACTGTTATGGGGGGATACTTTCCCAAATCATAGTAAGGATTCCTGATATAGAGACCCTGCATTCTACCATGTTAGGTTACATTGGATCCTTTGGGGGTTTAAGGCTTAAGGTTCAGGGCATAAGGCTGAGGCTTTCGGGCTTTGGGGTTTAGGGCTCTGGCTTTCCGCCCTAAACCCTAAACCCTTTTGGGGGCCTGCGGATTCCTTGTTTAGGGCCCCTTTCTGGCTTAGGGCTGCTAGGAGGGATTCCGGATTCCATGAAGGCTTCGTTCCGTGAAGGCTTCCCCGGGCCTGAAATAGACGGCTTTGAGGGCTGCAGCAAGGGTTCCAAGCTTCTCAGGGTTTAGTGTTTAGGGTTAGGGTTTAGGGTTTTGGTTTAGGGTTTAGGGTTGATGTGAGGGTTTAGGGTTTAGGGCCTAGGGGGTCCTAGTCGGGTTTTCAAGCTTTCACTCTAAATGAAGTTTTACAGGAGGCTGTTGCGAGGAGTCTGGAGGGCCTGGTTCGGGGCATCGCAGAAGGGTGCCTTCTGCTTTCGAGTCTGAGGGTAGGGTTCACACTTTGGGGTTTCAAGAATGCATGTAGATTTCTGTGTCATGAACCCGCGTTGCTTCAAAGGCCCTAACAGGAAAAGTTGTGTCTTAATCAAGGGTCTGCATTATAGAAGCTTTCTAGAGCCTGGGATCACTATTCTACATTATGTCTATTACTGTATGATGACGAATATGATCACGTTTATTATCATTATATCATGATTCATGTTGTCATCCATTTTGATTCCTCCTGGGATACAGAGCTTCTCGGCTTGGCCAGAGGCTCTCCGATAGGCGCAGAGAAGGCATGTGGCCAGAAATGCCAAGCTCCATCAAGTGCAGCAGGTTTAGGGTTTAGGAGTTTAGGGGTTTAGGGTTTAGGGTTTAGGGTTTTAGGGTTTAGGGTTTAGGGGTTTAGGGAGTTTGATCGTCCAAAAACCGACTCCCGGAACACTCCAGAGGTGGCGCGGCTTCATATCCTCAGCTCGAGGGTTGAGTAGGTTGGACCTCCATTTGGCTTTTGGCCCCGCAGGTCGTTGAACGGACATTTGCTCGTATTTGTCGCATGAACAGTGGGGGCATGGGTCATTCCGAGCAGAAGTCGGCCAGTTGAACTGAGAGCTGAAAAACTCCAGATCCCCACTGATCGACAGAATGATACACCGCCTTCTCGCTCTGCCTTATGCGCATTGATATCGGGTTCTGGGCCGGTTCACTCCAGACACGGGGCCTTGCTGAGGAATGACTGAAAGCAGGATCCCGAAAGACAAAATCCCTAAGCCCTAAACCGTGGACTATCAGATACTATACTCATCATTCATCTTTCTGCATCAGCTTGATCGGGAAAAGTTTTCAGGTTCAGTCTTTAGCCCTAAACCCTAAAGGGCCAGTGTCGGGGGCTTAGGGCTTAAAGTTTCCGGGCAAGGGCTCAGAGCCTAGAGGCTCCGGGTTCCAAGCTTATTAGGGTTTAGGGCTTTAGGG